TTGGCCAGGCTGGTCTTGAACTCCTGACCTCGGGTGATCTGCCTGCCTCAGCCTTCCAAAGTGCCAGGATTACAGGCGTGAGCCACCGCGCCCAGCCACAACATCCGTTTTTAAATCAGGGAAACAAGTCTGTCAGAGGCCACACAGGCAGCGTGGGCAGAGGTGAGCTGGACCCAGGCAGGCTCTGAGCGTTGCTTCATCACGATTTATTGGTTCCCTCCCTGCCCCTCCCACCCATCCCCCCAATTCTGCTGCACCCCCGAGGGGCAGGGTCCTCTGGAGAGAGTGAGGGGGTCCCCATCACCCCAGGACATCAGGCCACATCAGCCGGTGACCCTTCTGATCCAGGGCAGATAAGGTGCCACAGCGGTGGCCACTGGGGGCCTGAAGGTGTCGGTGCAGATCTTGGAGCTGAAGGACAGGACCCCGGCCACCACCTGGCGTTTGCCACACACCAGGGGCCCGCCTGAGTCACCCTGTGGGGGTGCCGAGAAGCCTCAGGTTAGCCTCTGAGTCCACTCAGGAAAGAGGGCGGAGCCCATCATCCCGGGGTCAGGAGACACAGGAGCTGCTCCCAGATACATGCGTCCCGACCCCTCCCTCTGGCCCTGTGAACTCTGCTCCTTCCTCCCATGCCCACCGCCTTTGCTGGAGCACAGGCCAGAGCTGTGCTGCATCCCGATGGTTGCAAAACCTCCCTGAGCCTCAGTTTCTGTGCCTGAGAAATGGGACCCATGACAGTGCCTCTCCGCCCCACCCACAGGGGTTGAGACTCCTCAGAGAACCGGAGAGCCAGGGGCCAGGCTCTCCCCCAGGCCCACCACAGGACTCCCCAGAGAACGGAAGGGCCAGGGCCCGGCCCTCCCCCAGGCCTGCTCCCCCCGCCCCAGCCGGGCGCCGTCACCTTGCAGGGAGCCTGGTCCTTGGAGGCAGCCGCCAGGCAGACCATGTTGGGGAAGAGGTGTCCCCTCCAGAAGCGGCTGTTGTTACACATGCGTGTGTCCAGCACGTGCACGTCCAGCTCCTGCAGCACCTGGGCCAGGCGCCCGCCCTGCTGGGTCAGCCCCCAGCCGGCCACACTGCACCGGGCCCCCACCGCGGGCACCTGCGACTTACTGGGCAAGGCCAGGGGCCGGATGGTCCTGCTGGGCTTCACTTTCCCTTCCAGCTGCGAGTGACAGGAAGGGGCAGGTGAGGGGGGACAGGCCGGCGGCGGGGTCCGTGGGGTGCTGAGTTCGCCCCCTGCCCATCCCCGTGCGCACCTTGAGCAGAGCGAGGTCATTCTCCAGGACAGGGGGCGGTCTGTAGCGAGGGTGCCGCACGACGGACTTGATGTGGAAGGTGAGGCCGGGCCCGCCCAGGGCGTGGAGCCCCAGCACCAACCTCAGCCCGGCCGTCCTGAGGACAGAGGGGATCAGGGTGCCGCTGCCTGGCCCGCCGTGGACGACCCCCCGTGCCTGTCGCCCACGGCCATCACTCACAGCCGCAGCCCCTCGCAGGCCTTGGCTCTCACCAGCCCTTCCCTGTGTCTTTTCAACCCGCCTCCTCCAGGAAGCCCTCCCTGCTCTCATCCCTGCCTCAGACTTCTGCCCGGCCCTGGCCCCAGGCAAGGGCTGTGTGTCTGAAAATGCCAACCCCAAGCCTACAGCTTCACAAAAACCAGCCCTGGGAACTTCCTTCACGTGGGGCCCCAGGCTCAACCGCAGTGATTTGCACAGTTTGGCACATGCCAATCCTCCTAACTGTGCCCAAACTAGACAGCCAAGCTCGCTTTCCACAGGACTGAGGGCTCACTTCTTGCCACCTTGATGGTGGGGCTTCCTGGCATGCAGCAGAGCTGGGAGGCAGTCACAACGCACTCCATCCACACCAGGAAGTGGATGTCCTCACACAGGAGGCTCCAGAGCGCCTCCTGTGAGCACCTGGATCAAGCTACACCTGAAGCTGGACCTTCTCCTAGACTTTGCAGTTACACAAGCTGGCAGATCCCTTTTTGTTATTTTGACCATCTTGACCTGGGCTGTGTATGACTGGCCAGTACTGAGGTAAGGCAACTCCAGGATGGGTCATTTAGTGGCTCCCCAATTTTGTGGAACCCAGGTCAATTCCTGCACCACCCTCAAAGGCCAGCTTTGTCCTCCTGGCATCAGGTGGCAAACACCCCACCTGACCCTCCTTCCCCAGTGCAGAGGTCCCAGACTAAGTTGGATCCATCAGCAGGTGAATGGACAGACACAATCTGCTCCGTCCACACCAGGACTGTGGCTCAGCCATGACAGGACCCAGAGTGAGACACAACCCACTCTGTCTACACCAGGACTGTGACTAAGTCGTGGAAGGACTCAGGCTCTGACACAATCCACTCCAACCACACCAGGACCATGGCTCAGCTGTAACAGGATCCAGGCTCAGACACAACCCGCTCCATCCACACCAGGACAGTGGCTCAGCCGTGGAAGGATCCAGGCTCAGACACAACCCGTTCCGTCCACACCAGGACGATGGCTCAGCCGTGGAAAGATCCAGGCCAGGCTCAGACACAACCCGCTCCATCCACACCAGGACGGTGGCTCAGCTGTGGAAGGATCCAGGCTCAGACACAACCCGTTCCGTCCACACCAGGACGGTGGCTCAGCCGTGGAAAGATCCAGGCCAGGCTCAGACACAACCCGCTCCATCCACACCAGGACCGTGGCTCAGCCATGGAAGGATCCAGGCTCAGACACAACCTGCTCCGTCCACACCAGGACGGTGGCTCAGCCGTGGAAGGATCCAGGCTCGGACACAACCCGCTCCGTCCACACCAGGACGGTGGCTGAGCTGTGGAAGGATCCAGGCTCGGACACAACCCGCTCCGTCCACACCAGGACGGTGGCTCAGCCGTGGAAGGATCCAGGCTCGGACACAACCTGCTCCATCCACACCAGGACCGTGGCTCAGCCGTGGAAGGATCCAGGCTCAGACACAACCTGCTCCGTCCACACCAGGATGGTGGCTCAGCCGTGGAAGGATCCAGGCTCTGCCAGTGCCTCTTGCCAATAGCAGACCTCCAGGAGTCCCACAGCTGCAGGCCACTTAGACCTGCCTAGGCCATCACCGGGAGGGAAGGGGCTCCCACAATTGGCCTAAATCTACCAGAACCCACCCTCTGTGGAGAATGGGGGCCGTGGGATGGATTCCCCGGACCCCTGGGGGGGTGGGGCAGGGTACTCACCCCTGGGGCAGGCAGTGCGCGGCTGTCAGCACCCACTTTGGGTGCACCAGGACCCCCCCGCACAGGTGGGAGCCGTTCCTCTGCAGCGAGGCCATGTATGGGCGTGAGTGGGGGGCCGCCTCCTGGCCCCCGATAATCTGGGCTGCAAAGGAGCTGCCTGCCAGAGTGGGGAAAAAGAGCCAGGTTGGGGCTGCATGTTCCCACCCCTGCTGAGACTGTCCTTGCCCAGCGCAGAGGCCTAGGACCCTGAACAGATGCGCCATCCTAATGACAACCCCAGCGTTCCCTGAAACTTCTAGGCTGACATGTGGGGGCGGCCCTTGGTCCCTCCCATCCCCCCCCCCGCCCTCCCAACCCCCTCTCCAGGACCTTCCCAGGCCCCACTGGGCCCCACAGCCTAGGGGAGTCCATAGCCAGAGGAGTCCTTCAAAATGTGCAACAGGCCAGGTGCAGGTGGCTCATGCCTGTGATCCCAGCACTTTGGGGAGCTAAGGAGGGAGGGTCACTCAAGGCCAGGAGTTCAAGACCAGCCTGGGTAACACAGCAAGACCCGGTCTCTACAAAACCTTTATCTATTTTTTTTTTTTGAGACGGAGTTTCGCTCTTGTTACCCAGGCTGGAGTGCAATGGCGCGATCTCGGCTCACCGCAACCTCCGCCTCCTGGGTTCAGGCAATTCTCCTGCCTCAGCCTCCTAAGTAGCTGGGACTACAGGCACGCACCACCATGCCCAGCTGATTTTTTGTATTTTTAGTAGAGACGGGGTTTCACCATGTTGACCAGGATGGTCTCGATCTCTTGACCTCGTGATCCACCCGCCTCGGCCTCCCAAAGTGCTGGGATTACAGGCTTGAGCCACTGCGCCCATCCTCTATTTATTTTTTTGAGACGGAGTCTTGCTGTGGTTGCCCGGGCTGCAGTGCAGTGGTGCGATCTCAGCTCACCACAACCTCCGCCTCCCGGGTTCAAGTGATTCTCTTGACTCAGCCTCCCGAGTAGCTGGGATTACAAACGCATGTCACCATACCTGGCTAATTTTTTATATTTTTAGTAGAGATGGGGTTTCACTATGTTGGCCAGGCTGGTCTGAAACTCCTGACCTCAGGCAATCCACCCACCTCAGCCTCCCAAAGTGCTTGGGATTACAGGCGTGAGCCACTGTGCCCGGCTTCTCCACAAAAGCTTTTTTTTTTTTTTCTTTGAGTCAGAGTTTCGCTCTGTCGCCCAGGCTGGAGCGCAGTGGTGCAATCTCGGCTCACTGCAACCTCCGCCTCCCGGGTTCAAGCGATTCTCCTGCCTCAGCCTCCTGGGTATCTGGGGTTACAGGCGTGCGCCACCATGCCTGGCTAATTTTTGTATTTTTAGTAGAGACGGGGTTTCACCATGTTGGCCAGGACGGTCTAGGTCTTCTGACCTCGTGATCCACCCACCTCGGCCTCCCAAAGTGCTGTGATTACAGGCGTGAGCCACTGCACCCGGCCTACAAAAACTTTTTTTCTTTTTTTTGAGATAGAGTCTTGCTCTGTTGCCCTGGCTGGAGTGCCATGCAGTGATCTCAGCTCACCACAACCTCCGCGTCCCAGGTTCAAGCGATTCTCCTGCCTCAGCCTCCCTGTGATTACAGGCTCATGCCACAAAGCCCAGCTAATTTTTGTATTTTTAGTAAAGACAGGGTTTCACTTTGTTGGTCAGGCTGGTCTCGAACTCCTGACCTTGTGGTTCGCCTGTCTCGGCCTCCCAAAGTGCTGGGATTACAGGTGTGAGCCACCGTGCCTGGCCAAAAAAAACTTTCTAAAAACTTAACCGGGCGTGGTTGTGGGTGCCTGTGGTCCCAGCTACTCGGGAGGCTGAGGCAGGAGAATCGCTGGAGCCCAGGGGCAGAGGCGGGGATGAGCCAAGATGGCGGTGCCATTGCATTCCGTCTCATAATAAATAAGCAAAAACCAGATTCCCACCAGCAGAGAAACGGGCTCCTCAAACACTGTGGGTAGGAACGTGAGGCAGGGCAGTCACCCAGGAAGTTCCTCAAATGCGAAGTCAGAGCCACCTCGTGACTCAGCAGCCGACTCCCGGATACACACCCAGGAGGAATGAAAATGCAGAAACTGCACACAGACGCTCACAGCAGCGTGAGTCCTAGCCATCAGGAGAGGGTGGGAACAGCCAAAGCGTCCATCCAGGGCGGGGTGGGTCAGCACCACACGGCCGTCCACACCACGGAAGACAACTCGCCCGTGGAAAGGAGCGTGGCTGGGCGCGGTGGCTCACACCTGTAATCCCAAGCACTTTGGGAGGCCGAGGCGGGTGGATCACCTGAGGTCAGGAGTTCGAGACCAGCCTGATCAACACTGAGAAACCCCATCTGTCCTAAAAATACAAAAATTAGCCGGGCATGGTGGCGCACACCTGTAATCCCAGCTACTCAGGAGGCTGAGGCAGGAGAATTGCTTGAACCCGGGAGGCGGAGGCTGCCGTGAGCCGAGATCACAGCATTGCGCTCCAGCCTGGGTGACAACGGAGGAAAAAAAAAAAAGAAAAAGAAAAGGAGCATGACTCTGACCCCGCTGCAACCCCGCCTCCTGGGTTCAAGCGATTCTCCTGCCCCAACTTCCTGAGCAGCTGGGGTTACAGGTGCCCGCCATTAGAGCCAGCTAATTGTATTTTTATAGAGACAGCGTTTTGCTATGTTGGCCAGGCTGGTCTCGAACTCCTGACTCCACATGATCCACCCACCTTGGTCTTCCAATGTGCTGGGATTACAGGCGTGAGCCACCGCGCCCGGCCAAGGTTCGTTTTTTTTTTTTTTGAGACAGGATCTTGGTCCCTTGCCCAGGCTGGAGTGCAGAGGTGTGATCACACCTCAACGCAGCCTTGGACTCCTGGTGTCAAGAAATCCTCCCACCTCAGCGTCCGCAAGTTCTGGCAATGCAGGTGTGAACCACTGGGCTTGGCCACAACTGTATTTC